CCCCCCAAACCCGAAATACCCCTAAACTGCCCCAAAATACCCAAAGAAACCCCCCCAAAAAACCCCAAATTCCCCCAAACTCCCCAAATTTCCCCAAATCCCCCCAAAATACGACAAAACCAAAAGAGCTCAACTCACCTCACAATACCCCAAACCACCCTAAAATATCCCAAATCGCCACCCCCCAATACCCCAAAATTCCCCTAAATACCCCAAAATTCCCCTAAATACCCCAAACCCCCCAAACCTCCTCAAAAAACATCAAAACCATCCCAAAAAAACCCCCAAACTCCACCAAAACACCCCAAAATTCCCAAATCTCCCCAAAATTCACCCCAAAATCCTCCCTGTGCCCTCCCCCCGCAGGCCTGAGGCCTTCGCTCCCCTGGAGAGGAAAAACCCCCGGGAGGGGTGAGTTAATTAGGGGGGATAACGAGGTGCTAATTAACTGGGGACCGGCCGTGGGGGTGTTAATTGGGGGCAGTAATGGGGTTTTAATTGGGATTTGTTTTAATTGGATAATTGAGGGGTAATAAGGTGGCGTTAATTGGGGGGGTGATAACGGCGATTAATTTGGGGCAGTAATGGGATGTTAATTAATTTGGGTTAATGGAGATATTAATTGGGGGGTAATAATGGGAATTAACGAAGAACAACGGAGGTGTTAATTGGGAGCAATAGTGTTAATTGGGGATTGTTAGTGAGGGCGATAATGGGACCTTAATTGAGGGAGTGATAATGGTGGATTAATTAGGGGGTGATAATAGAGGGGTTAATTGTGGGGGGTAATAATTAGGGGGGTTAATTGGAGGGTGATGATTGGGGGGTGATAACTAAGGGGGTTAATTGGGGGATGCTAATTAGGGGGTTTAATTGGGGGGTGATAATTAAGGGGGTTAATTGGGGGTCATTAACGGGGACAGTAAAGAGGAGGAGGGGTCAGAATGGGGTCAAGGGGACACGTGGGGACACGGTGACACACTGGGGACACGGTGACACACTTGGGGACATGGTGACACATTGGGGACACGGTGACACACGTGGGGACACGGTGACACATTGGGGACACGGTGACACACTGGGGACACGGTGACACATTTGGGGACACGGTGACACATTTGGGGACACGGTGACACACTTGGGGACACGGTGACACACTGGGGACACGGTGACACATTGGGGACACGGTGACACACTTGGGGACACGGTGACACACTGGGGACACGGTGACACATTGGGGACACGGTGACACACTTGGGGACATGGTGACACACTGGGGACACGGTGACACATTGGGGACACGGTGACACACTTGGGGACATGGTGACACACTGGGGACACGGTGACACACTGGGGACACGGTGACACACTGGGGACACGGTGACACACTTGGGGACACGGTGACACATTGGGGACACGGTGACACTTTGAGGACACGGTGACACACTGGGGACACGGTGACACATTTGTGGACACGGTGACACATTGGGGACACGGTGTCACACTTGGGGACACGGTGACACACTTGGGGACACGGTGTCACACTTGGGGACACGGTGATACACTCGGGGACACGGTGTCACACTCGGGGACACGGTGACACACTCGGGGACACGGTGACACCTTGGGGACACGGTGACACACTTGGGGACACGGTGACACATTTGGGGACACGGTGACACTTTGGGGACACGGTGACACCTTGGGGACACGGTGACACACTTGGGGACACGGTGACACATTGGGGACACGGTGACACTTTGGGGACACGGTGATACACTTGGGGACACGGTGACACACTTGGGGACACGGTGGCACATTGGGGACACGGTGACACACTTGGGGACACGGTGACACCTTGAGGACACGGTGACACATTGGGGACACGGTGACACACTTGGGGACACGGTGACA